GCCCGGGGGCGGAGGGGGGGGGCTGTCCCAGCCGACACGGAGCAGCAGAGACTGATGGAGGAGCAGCAGAGGAGGCAGGAGGCCGTTCTACAGAAAGACAGAGTAGGACTGGCTTCGGTCACTGCGTCTTCTTCCTGTTTGATCAGATTAAACTGGATGAGGTTCAACTTTGGTTCTACGTGTCCCTCAAACAGTTTTGGTTCTAAATTTGCCACAACAGGGTAACGCTTACTTCAAAGAGGGGAAGTACGAAGCAGCCGTCCAGTGCTACAGCCAAGGCATGGAGGCCGACGGCCTGAACGTCCTCCTTCCTGCCAACAGAGCCATGGCCTTCCTGAAGCTGGAGAAGTAAACACATCGCCAAAGACATCCAACCAAAAAGATGGGGTTTTTTTATGCTGACCACCTGTGTCTGTGTTCCAGGTATAAGGAGGCAGAGGAGGACTGCACCAAGGCCATCCACCTGGACAGTACTTACTCCAAGGCTTTTGCTCGGCGTGGAACAGCCAGAGTGGCTTTAGGGAAAGTGGAGGAGGCCAGAGAAGGTGTGTCGTCTGAAAACTACAACTGCATTCTCTGTCTGGGATTTAATGAGCCTGAAACACATGAATCTGGGGGAACTGTTGTTGTGTATTCTGTGTTTTATAAATGAAGTTCATTTAGTTTTGAATCAATAACAAGACATTGAATGTGTGTGTGTGTTTGTGTTTTTCAGATTTTCAGGAGCTGTTGAAGCTGGAGCCAGGAAACAAACAGGCTCTGAATGAACTCCAGAAACTCGTACGTTTATTTGTTATTAATTAGCATTCATTCAAAGTAGTCAGTTATGACAGTAAAGTCTTAGGACAGATGTTCTCAAATTTAAAAGATGTCAGAATAATGAATAACTAAACCATGTTACGATAACAGATGTAGATTTGGACTCAGTTTGGGCCTAAATGGTCAAATCAAACTTTGTTTTTCCAGGACATGAGGCTCAGTGGCCTCCTCGACACAGAGGTCGGCTGCCAGAGGAGAACGGTGCAGCCCATCGATAAACCAACGCATCTGCGTTCAACTGTAAGTAATAAACCAACGCATCTGCGTTCAACTGTGAGTATATATATATTATCCATCCATCCATTTTCATCTGCTTATCCGTTACCGGGTCGCGGGGGCAGCAGTCACCACCCACATCACACAGCACCGTATCAACCCCCCTAAACCTTCCTGTGGATGGTGAGTCCACTGGGAGGTACCAACTGCCCCGATTTGAGCTTGCCCAGGAGGTGAACCCTGGGGTTCCACACCAATGACAGAGACATTGTCTCTGGGCCAAAGCACCACTTGAAAAAATTTTGAAAAAATAAAATTTTGATTTTTTTTTTTTTAAATTTTAGCAAAAAAACATTTTCCAAAAAAAATTTTAGAAACTTTTTTTTTTTTTCAAAATAGTTTTTAAAAAAAATTTAGAAATTTTTATTTTTTTAATTTTAGAAAAAAGAAAAATTTGAAAAAATTTTAGAAAAAAGTTTTTTTGAAAAAATTTCCATCAATCCATTTTCATCCGCTTATCCGTTACCGGGTCGCAGGGGCAGCAGTCGCCACCCACATCACGTTGCACCGTACGAACCCCCCTAAACCTTCCTGCAGGTGGTGAGTCCCGGGATTCGAACTTGCCCAGGAGGTGAACCCTGGAGTTCTACACCAATGACAGAGACATTGCCTCTGGGCCAAAGCGCCACTGAATATATATATATATTTATATATAATAGAAATTGTTTTTTTCTATTTCATATAAATCTGTTCAATCTTGAGCTTTTTAACAGTTAATGCAAACTAACAGTAAAACCTGTTTTTTTATTGGTTCTCATCAGAAACCTCTGAGGAGGATTGACATCGAGGAAGTCAGTGGGAAAGTAACGCTGCTCGAAGGAGAGTCGGCCGCATCCAACGCCTTTGTCCGAGAATTGGGTCCGGACCCTGATGCCGATTCTTCACCGCTGTCGACGTCACCCAGCGCCAAGATGATCAAAATCGAGGAGATAGAGGCCACACCCACAGTGACGGCCAATCAGTCAGTGACTCTCTCGTATTCTTTGAGTGACTTCACTGATGACTTTTTAGGTTTTGTGTGTTTGAGTCATTTCTGCTTCTCTTTCACAGACCCGTCCAACGGATGCAGGAGGAAACTGCTGCACCGTCAGAAACCACACCCACTGCTGCACCACCCTCCACGGTCACAGACCTCCCTCCTCCACCAACCAGCAGCTTCCAGCTGGAGGCCACGCTCCGGAAAATAGGAAAGCAGCCGGAAGTGATTTACAGATATCTGAGGGTAGGATGTGATTTAGAATTCTTTGTCTAACATTATTATTTTATCTTTATTTTGGATTTGGATTAGACCCGCTGGCCAACGGTTGATTATCACTACCTTATATCTTTGGTCCAGAACAGAACTGACCCTGATCCTAGTTGTTGTTTTTCATTTTTTCTCCTTCCAGCAAATTAATCCAAAATGTTTCGGCAAGATTTTTCAAAACTCCCTAGAGCCTGACATCTTTAATCAGATCTTGAAGACGTTGAAAGAGTTCTACATCCTGTAAGTTCTAGTTATTAAGACAAGTCAGTTTGAACATTTTGGCCACATCATGTGACCCGGCGCAGCCACAGTTGTCATTGAAATCAATGTTATCAACACTGCAGCCGTGCATGATGAATTTATTTAAAACCTAATATTCCCGTATCGTGTTCAGGAACGAACCGCCGTCTGTCGTTCTGGAGATCCTCAGCGGTCTGGCGTCTGTGAGCCGCTTCGACATGGCCATCATGTTCATGTCGTCGGCCGAGAAGAAAAGTAAGACTGTCACAGGATTCTCTGATGTTTCACACACTCATCATTATTGGGGTTTTTTATATAAATAATTAATTTGCACAGGATTCTCTGATGTTTCACACACTTAACATTTATGTTTTGTTTTTTTTAATAACTCATTTTATCTTGTAGTGCTTACAGATCTGTTCGACTTTCTCCAACAAGCCGAGCTGGAAAAATCATCTGTCGCAGCTTTACGAAAGAAGTACGGTATGTGAGCCCTGCTTTGGACAACGGCAGCAAACACGCCGCGCTGATGCGGCTTTAATCAGAATGAACAGATAACGGTGGTATCAAAAGGATCAGTCTCTATGAGAACTGTGTTTAAAACAACGTCACGTTTTCTCACCTGCTTTGACCACATTTAACTATTGTCTAGGAAGCGTTGCATTCAGGAAAAACTGGAAAATAAAGATGTGTTTTGTAATCAGAGCGTAAGCTGTCAGTCACAAATTGAACAATTTATTTATTACAAAAGGCTGTGGTGTTAAAACAAGTTTATTTCATATTGTTATATGTTTATATTTTGTTGGATCGAAGATTGATTTTAAACTTAAATTGAATCTTTAATCTCGTAATGAAATGAGAAGCAGAAGAAATTGTAGCTCGATCTTCCCCATAGAAAAATTAAACTTCCTATTGGATGTTTGCTTGACACCTAGCGGTCATCTAGGGTATGTGCAGAGTCAAAACAATGTTAATTAACTGATGAAGAGTGTGTGAAAAACATATATAACCTCATCAGAGAGAAAGAGCTTGATGAAATTGTGTTCTTTTTAAACTTAAATTGAATCTTTAATCTCGTAATGAAATGAGAAGCAGAAGAAATTGTAGCTCGATCTTCCCCATAGAAAAATTAAACTTCCTATTGGATGTTTGCTTGACACCTAGCGGTTAACTAGGGTATGTGCAGAGTCAAAACAATCATAATTAACTGAAGGTGAAGTGTGTGTGAAAAACATACAGTATATAACCTCATCAAAGAGAGAAAGCTTGATGAAATTGTGTTCTTTTGAGTTACCAGCATGCAACCACCAGGTGGCGGCAGAGCCAAATGTTCTGTCTGGGTTCCACCTTATCACTGCCTTTATGTGACAGCTACTCGGATTTCAGCTACTTCCGGTCAGGGCTTACTAGAGTTCATTGGAGTTCATTTTAAATATTGGTTTTACCAACACCTCGCGAGAGTTAAAGAATGTTAAGGCAACAAGTGAAACGATGTTTCTGTCGTTGACGTGAACTTGTCACGTCAACTGTTGTTAAACTGTTAAACACAGTGACAATTTTATGACAAATTAGGCAGATGACGATGTAAACTTAAAAAGAAAATGCTTTATAAGACAAAAATCAACCTCAAACCAACCATATTATTTACGGTGTGGCCTCGCCCTTTGGTATCAAACAAAATGAAAATAACCCATTTTTAATAACAAAAATGAAATGCATGTAGAAAGAACACTGCTGTACAATTGACAAATTGCAAAACGTTAAAATTTGTACTTCCTTTTTTAAAAAAGGATGTAGAAACACACGACCGTAGTCAGAGACTCCTGACCTTCTGGAACTCAGTTCAGTAGACGCCAACGCAACAGGAATTATTATTACTTCTGTACAAATACACACATGTCCTGAGGGCGCTAGAGAGCGGGGTCAAGAGTGGTGGCGGTGGTGGTGGCGCTGTTCTTCGAGGCTGTTAAAGTGACGTCTCCCTGGGGTCTTTGGGCGGCCTGAAGGTCAGGATCTCTGTGAACGTGTGACCTGCGCAAACACAGGTGAGAAGAGGATTATCAGTTTCATTCATCAGGTAAAATCTCATCACAACAGTGACCTCCTGTGGCCATTTTTTTTTTAATTTAATTTCCACACAGTTTCAGTTTTCTTCCGCGCCCTCCTTACGTTTCCACTGGTCCAGCTGCAGGTCCATGTTGTCGATGGTCTGGTCGTACGGCAGCGCCTCTGTCTCCTCGTCCGTGTCCCTGAACTCGCTGAAGAACGGCAGCTCCAGCGCCTCCGAGGCACTCACCCTCTGCTCAGGGTCCAGGAGCAGCATCTTCTCCAGGACACACACCGCTGCAGTGCACACACACACACACACATCAGAGTCAGCGTGATCAAACAAACCGGACAAGAGCTGCATTAACTGGAGAACAGGAAGCGGCCGGTACCGTTGGAGCTGGCTTTAGAGAAAATGGAGTGTAAGTCCTTTTTCGGCACTTTAGGTAAACTCCTGATGTAGTTTTTGGCCTGTAGGGGGAGGAGAGAGAGAGAGAGAGGTGAGGAAGAGACACTGGGTGAGTTCAGGCTCCACTCCTGCAGCTGACAGAGTTTGTGTGTGAGCAGAAATGTTCACGACATCGTCTCACGTCTTGGCTTTGTAGCTTCACAACAAAGTCGGCCGCTGGAGTTCCTGTGATCTTCATGATTTCTCTCAGCTGGTCCAGGTCTGACGTTAGCAAAGGTCAAGGGTCAATCTGTGTATGTTTGACATGAAACATCCTGTTTCTACGCAGAGCGACAGGAACACAATCGTCTAGGATTCAAAGATCTTTTTTTTTTCCAAAGACGAAGACCAAGGATACGGTCGTTTCCCTTGAACAGCGGTTTTCCCAGCAGCATCTCGGCCATGATGCAGCCCGCGGACCAGATATCCACTGTGAACAACACGGAACACACACACGTCAGCTACGCGTCTGGTGACACCTGCTGGTGAGGCTGGAGGAAGTGAAACTGCGGCTGTACCAGTCTGAGTGTAGTGCATCCAGTTGAGGATGACCTCTGGTGCCCTGTACCAGCGAGTCACAACGTAGCCGGTCATTTCTGCGTCCGCCTGCCTCGCCAGGCCGAAGTCAAGGATCTACATCGGGGAGTAGACGAAAACAACAAACAACAAAATGTGAGTTTTAAATTAATTTAAATATATATATATATATATATGTGGGTTGAAAAATATAAATATGACTATATATTTATGGGTATATAGGTTTATATATATATTTATATATATAGGGCTATATATGTGTATATATAAATATGACTGTATATTTATATGTAAATAGGCCTATATATTTATATATGTATATGTGTGTATGTATTTATGTGCATAGGCCTATATATTTATATATATGTTTAGGTCTATATATGTATATCGGTGTATACATATATGTGTGTATTTAAATGTGAATTATATATGTATATAGGCCTATATATTTATATATATGTTTAGGTCTATATATGTATTTATGTGTATACATATATGTGAGTATACAGATGTGAATGTATATATTTATATGTATTTAGGCCATATATATTTATATATATGTTTAGATCTATATATGTATATATATCCCAAAGAGCAGTTACTTTTTTTTTTTACCTTTAACTCGCAGTCTGGATTTATGGCCAAATTTCCAGGCTTGAGGTCCTGTGTGAGAGGAAACCATCGTGTCAGGTTTAAATATCAAAAAGATAATTTTCAGATATTATTCCGACGGCTGAATGAAGACGTTAAAATAGACATTTTAGCGACACGTTTATCAGACAGCGTGACGACTTCAGACACACATGAAAACACAGAAGCAGTAGAGAGAGTTCCCTTTCGGTGGGAACGCAGATGAATGGGATTGTGAGTGAAAAAGAACAAGAACCCCCCCTCCCTGTCCCCCCAAAGGTCATTGACTGAAAGGTCAAAGTTCACAGACCCTGTGAATGATCCCTGCGGAGTGGATGTACTGTGGAGAGAGAAGACGGAGACACGTCAGAACACAATGGACAGACGGAGGAAGCTCGAAGAAAAACTTCTGCTCTGGTGTTAAAAACTGAGGGACGCGGGTCTGAAAGTGGTCACCTTCAGGCCCCTCATCATCTGATAGACCAGGAACTGCACCCTGTCCTCCGTCAGGCGCTCCAGCTTCATCAACTTGCCGAGGTCAGTGCCCATAAACGGCATCACCAGGTAACTGAGGACAAAGAATCAGGGAACGCGTCTTTAAATATTCGCGTTCACAACACGTGGTTCAGGAAGACAAGGTGCACTCACAAGTCACGTAACCGGTCCAGTGCGATCTCCGCTGTGAAAACGTCCAGCAGTCCAATCACCTGCTCAGACCCAACACAGTCAGTACCTGAACACACACCCCGTGGCTTTTTCCTCTGAGGAAATATTTAGAAAAATAATTTTCCTCTGAGGAAATATTTAGAAAAATAATCTAAAATTAAAAAAAAAAAACCTCCTACATTTTCGTGCTTCATGTGTTTGAGCAGCCGCAGCTCTCTGTACGCTCTTTTGGCGAAGAGTTTGGTCTGAAATGGTCGGTGCAGCTTCTTGATGGCGACCTGCGTCGCTGAACGTCGGTCCCAGGCTGAGCTGAAACACAGAAGTGGAACTGTTTTAGCATGAGCTGTAGCGGCCGCTAAGCTAACGCTACCGTGAGACTTAAATAACTGTGTCCCCTTTTCTGTCCATGAGGACATGGACATGTAGTTAATAACTCCTGGGGACACTTTAATTGGATCACGTTTTTAATTATAACTGCGCCTCCCCTGCCGTGACCAATCAGAGTGCGGTGACCGCCGCGGGGAGGAAAATGTGAGGCGCATTTGTGACTGAAGACAAAATAGTGGTGCATTCAATGCACTTATCTGGGCTCCTTTGACTTCTAACAATGAGAGCGGGGAGGGGTCCTTTGTTTGTCCCCATCCACGTAACACAATGAGGAGAGAGGCCCCCGCGGAGCCAGCTGTGGAGAGACCCCGGACCAACACAGGCAACAGTACCACGGCAGGAACACAATGGTTCCACTGGAGTTACCAAAAAAAATAGATACAAATAAAGGAAAAACCAGGTGCTTACAATGCACTAAAATGGACGCAAAGTTAACGCCTCATAAAAAAAACTTCTTTAAAGTTTACGTTGATAAAGTTAAACAGTCCCATCAGCTTCAATATTGACGTTAAAATTAATTACGATTTGCCGTGGCCCCCCCTGCAATAGTTCCACGCCTGGTACGGGGGCCCGCCCCCCACTTTGGGAACCACCACTTTATTAAAACACAGATTGATTAAGACCTCTCTCTCTCGTCGGTTATTTCTCGGCTGTAATCTCGTGCACGCGTTTTTAAAACGCTGCTAACCGCGGCACAACTAAACGACCGACATGAACGCAACACGGTCAACAACCACCCGGGCTGCAGAGGTGGACGTTGTCATCCAGACCTACCACACGGTTCCATAGGCTCCCGTCCCGATCTGCTTCAAGTCCCGGTACCGCTCCGGAACCTCCCACACGGTCCTGTTGACCTCCTGCCGGTAAAACCCGGTCCGTGAGCGCACCGCCATGGCCAACTGAAGAACTGAGGCTGCGGTCAGGGTGGGACAACTGTAACCTGGATAAATCCGGTCATGTGAAGAAAACTTTTTTAATTTTCTTTTCTTTTTCTTTCTTTTTTTTTAAAAAAATAATCCCGAACACTCGTGAGGACCTCTTCCTGTTGTAGGACGCTGTGTCTGATCCGCCTGGTCGACTCCGGTGTTTGCGTAAAATTCCTCCAGATAAATCAGCCCACCACCGGCTGAGCTGGTGACACGGGGGGAACTCTCACCGCGCGACCCCAACACACACACACACACACACACACACACACGCACTTACGCACTGGTCGTCCAGGGCGATCGAAGGGTGTGTCCACAATGTGGAGATTAGGAAAAAACCCCAAACAAACATCTGTCGTCACTGAAGTTACACCGCGGAACACTCTCTGTAGTTGGTGTCGAAAATGTTCGCTCGTCGATTATTGCACCACCTGAATGTTCGACTTGTAAATTATTTAAGGTATGTTACTATAATATATGTATGTGTAATTTGTGGTTGTGTGCGTATGTACACATATACATGCACACATATATAAATATATGTATAAATATATAGTATGTATGAATATTTTAAAAAATATATTTAAAAATATATACATTTAAATATCGCTGAGAAATACTAAAACACAATAAAAAAAATCGTTAATTTTTTTACAAATTTTCCCTAATTTTTTTCTTTTGTTGTTTTTATGCAACAAGTGAATGAACGAGCAGAGAAGTTTTGAATCTCTCTCTCTCTATATATATATGTATATACTGTATATATATTTTTATATATATACATATACATATATATGTATATATATATTTCTAAGCTTCAATTATTTTAAAACCTCAGTTAAACAAAATTGTCTCATTTAACGATTTAAAAATATATATATATAACGACAAATATACGTTAGACAATGTTTTGACCTGTACTTTACATGTACTTCACTGTACTATGAAACCATAGTACAGTGAAGTACTACAGCCTTCAGGGTACACTACATCGTAATAATTACAAATCAACAACCTTCATCTTTAATACTATGTACCTTAGTACACAGAATACTCTTTATGCGGGTATTTGTGACTCAAACATTAACTCCTGTCAAAGTCAAGACTTGCTGAGCGATGCCCCGTGTGGATGAATGAGGAAAAAGCGTGTGTTTGTTTTAATTGTTTAAAAATCCAAATGCTAACGGTACATTCACGTTGTTGGTTTGCGATCCGAGGCTACGGCCGTCACATGCCACCACGTATGAAACGAACAGACAAAGAAAACCAAAAACACATACTTGAACACAGTATACAGTACATACACATTCAGCTTGCAGGATTTCTATTTAGTGCCAGTACATGTACGACATCCACAGAGGCGCGTGATACTTGAAACATTCAGAGCGCTAACACACGTCGACGTTAAAACGGTACCAAGTTGCGTCCATCTTTGAGGGACGACTGATAATGAATCCACGTAGTAGTACTCCACTGTGTACCGTTACTGTAACAAATACTCTGTACTCTGTTTGATGTTGCATTTTTACAAACGTACAAACTCATTCACGTGAAGCGGCTGTGATCGGTAACGTTTTAGATCGTAAACGTATATAAAATATAAGTGACTTCAACCAATCAGAATTGATATTTTTAACTACTCCTGGTAATACTGACCTCACTTTGCATTTTACTGCCCCCCACAGGTTGTTTGGACTGAACTGGTCTCCGCCTGCAGAGGGCAGAGTTGTGTCGTAGCCACACTTAGCATAAACACAGCAGCATTTTTTCAGAAAAAGAAAAATCTACGTCAGGCGTGAGCAAACTTTCTGACCCGCGGGCCACAATGGGTCCTAATATTTGACAGGTGGGCCGGGTCAGGAGCAGATGGATGAAGAGTTCGTATGAGCTAAGATAAAAAAATGCTAAAATGCTAAAATGCTTTCAGCCCTTTCTACGCCATCGAATGGAGAAATGCAGGCACTGAAGCGAAAAGGCAGAAGTCTGACATTCATCATTTAGTGACGGACCGGTGACGGACCGGATTAAAAAACCAAACGGGCCACATCCGGGCCTCGGGCCGTAGTTTGCCCACGCCTGTCCTCCCAACTCTGAACCTAAATCTTATGCATAGTCTTGACACTCAGCCTGAACCAGTAACGACCAGAATGTTGTTGAAGACGGATGTTTAAAAAGCTTAAAACCTACTGGTGCACAGATTTTTTTCGCTGACAGCAGCTTTAACAGGCGCCGACAGAC